CTTTTGCCTGTGAAGCGACCGTCTAGAGAAAACTGCTGTACGCGATTATTGTGAGGGTCACATACAAGAAGATTATCGGAGCTGTCTACGAGCAGATGACGCGGCTCATTCAATTCTCCATCTTGATTCCCTTCTTTACCAAACTTGTACAAGAATGTTCCTGACTGATCAAAAGCTTTTATGCAATGATTGCCTCCGTCACATACAAGAAACATGTTTTTGTAAGGAATGCAGCCGATTGGATAGCTGAGTTTCTCTGGGCCTCTGTCTCCGAATGTAAAAATAGATTCTCCCTCTTTCGAAATCACCTGTATCCTATGATTGCCACACTCTGTTACAACAATGCGCTCTTCATCATCCAAACAAACATCATATGGACCATTTAACTCTCCTTTTCCTGAACCCAATTGTCTAAAGCTTCTCAGGACAGTTCCTGTCTGGATATCGATGCGTTGTATTCTATCATTTCCAAAGTCTGCTACAAGAATCTCTTTATCATTTAAATATGACACGCCTGCTGGTTGCTCAAATTGTCCCTCTTCTTCCCCTTGGCTCCCAATTTTTCTCACACAGTTTCCATCTTTATCAAATACATAAATACAGTGGCCTTCATTATCTGCCAAAGCTATCTCACCTTTCCTATTAACAGCAATTCCAATCAGAGAGAGAAGCTTGTCGCCTGGAAAGAGCTTCAAGTTCAACTCTCCAACGATAACAAGTTCTCGTTCTTTCACATTTAATGCACATGAGCTGATCGAAAGTTTATCACCATTAATCTTCACTTCGATGCTGTAGGAACCGGGTAATTTGGGTGTAAACTTCAACTGAAGACAGCCGTTCTTTCTCTTGTTAACAAACACATTTGTAACATCTTTCACGGGTTCTATGAGAAATTCAACTTGATCTCTGAGATCATCCCGGCTTATCGGTTCCCCTTCGGATGTTTTAGCGTATAACGTCAACTCCGCTTCTACACCAGCCTGAAAACTTTGATCCAGTCCTTCAAGTCTTGATCGCTTTGCATCTGCTGTCGGAGTAACCTCGATATTTCCAATCCACCAAACGAGGTGCCTCAGAAAATTTAACGAATGTCGTTTGATGATGTCTAGGAACTTCAACTCCACGAAGCTCTTCAAATTTCTGCTCCAAAGTTTCCTTGATCTGCATAACATCTGAGCTCGAGCTATTCTGAACCAGATTTTCTGCATACGTAGCAGCTTGGTTCATTTGTTTTACCAGAGATTCCACCTCCTGTTTAGGTGAGTTGATCCGCTCAAGTCTTGACACGCGTGTTGCCTCGAGGGAGTCAATTGCTTCTCGCTCGCGCTCTCTAATCTCCGCGATAACTTCTTCGACTACTCGCGAGACCTCTCGCTTAGCTGTTGCAACGTTGCTTTCCAGCTTCGAAGTTGTTTCTTCAAACTGCTTGATGACTTCATAGAGCTCACTTTCCTTGTTCCTGATCAATTTAGCACCACACATGATCTTATCCTTTTCTTTGAGAGCCGCTCTCTCGAGCAGAACAACTTCGTGGTTTTGATGATCCGTTACTCTGCAAATTTGGCAAATGCAAACTTGACACTCCAAGCAAAAAAATCGTGTGACTTCTCTCTCGTGGAACTCTTGTGAACAAAACGGCTGTCGCTTTAGCACTGCTTCGTAATCTTCTACTTTAAAGTCTTTAACTGGCGTGACTTTGTGTCCTTCAAATGTTGCACTCAGCAATTGATGCGCATTGAAACAATCAAGGCACATGAATCTTCCGCAATCGAAGCAATAGTACATCTGAGGGTTGGTTTTCCGGCACTGAGAGCAAGTAATGCTACTTGCATCACCACTTTGTCGAATGGATAGGAGACTCAGCAAACTGTTGTGGAAAAAGCTGTTGGGAAAACGGTCGAAGCAATTTCCTTCTGGTAAATCGATCGCTGCCTGACACACGGGGCATCGAAATTTTCCTTCTTTCTGGCTCACTCTTGCATGTTTCTCCAAACACTCGCAGCAGAACGTGTGGAAACACGATATAATTTTAGGTTCAGTGTAGGTATCCAGACAAATGGAGCAAGTAACTTGCTGCTTAATGTTTTTCAAAAGAGACTCCATTACGATCGACAAAAACGAAACGACGCCATCGAATAAAATAAACACCTGACGCCTAAAGGGATTGAGTTACATTTCTGAGAAAACAGAACAAAGTCCGTCACAAGCAGCTGATGGTGACCAATCAAGATCGAAAAGCTCGTCTGTAACATTAGATTGTTTATCTGTGGCGTAAAATCAATCTTCATTTTTTGTCTGAGAGCTTTAATTTTAAACAGTCCAGATGGTTTAGCGCTTTGTCAGATAATAAAAAGCTACAGTGCTTCTCTTTGAATATTCGTGAAAATAACGCAGAGACTCACTGCGAAACTAAATGAGCCGCATCAATTTATTAAGATTTTAATGCTGATTTGTTTTATTTATCTACCGATTTATTCAATATCTATTCATCTATTTAGTTGTTCAGATAATTTTTGAAGGTTTGCATGAGGCGCAATTCTATATTCTGCTCCAAGGATTTAAAAGAGCATTTGAAACCCTTTAGACATTTTGATAGAAACACTTAAACGAGGGATCAGGCATGCAATATTGTGTTTTCGTCGAACTTGCCATGGTTATCAAATTATGTCACAGCTATGCTTTAGCAGTTAGAATCATCATGATTCTTGGTCACAAGGGGCAGAGGAGTCGTGTCCGATTGTGTTTTTAGTTAAATTCACTAGATTTTGCTAATCCACCGTAAAGAGCGAATAAATTAAATCTCTCCTCATAGAATATTTTTTTCGGATTTCCGACTAAACATAATAAAGTCCGTCATCAACGACTGCTCGAACCAATCACGTTTAAACAGTTCCTTTGTGCAGGTAAAATTAGACTGTTTATCTATGGCAGGTAATTTAGTGTTAACAACTGAGTTGAAAACGTAAATTAGCCACCGTAAAGGGTAAAAAAGCTGACGTTTCGAGCGTTAGCCCTTCGTCAGACGCTTCGCTCTGACGAAGGGCTAACGCTCGAAACGTCAGCTTTTTTACCCTTTACGGTGGCTAATTTACGTTTTCTACTCAGTTGTTAACACCAAATTACCTGCTATACTCTCCCACCCACGCAGCACCACAGTTTCTTTAGAAACTTACCTCTTTATTCATTTGTTTATCTATTGCATTTGAGGAATTTTCCATTGTTGCCTTGAACCTTATTTCAAAACATATGAATGAATAAAGTGTGTACGTTTCTAAAGAAACTGTGGTGCTGCGCCGGTGAAAGAGTATAACAGGGTTATACCTCCTTATTTTTAGACAGTCAGATATTGCAATTCGTCGACGAGAGGTGAAAATATCTCTCGATTTGTCGAGAGAATTCGCTTACGATGCAGGGAAAGTCAAGGAATTCAAAACGAAAGTTAGGGCGCCGAAGGGGTCCGGAAAGGGAAAAAAATCTTTCAGCGTTCCATCTTTTTTTAATGGTTCTTTAACCCTTTCCTTACCCCGTCCAGTCAGTATCCGCATTCTCTGTACTCTTTTCGACGCGTTTCCTTTAGTACTAACAAGGAGATTTTGTTGGACAATCAAAGCTTCTTTGGGTGGTGATCATTTCCTTTATTCTCATAATCTTAATGAATGATTCAGCCATATTACTGTGAGGAGAAATTAGATGTTGATCACTCTCAGGGTTTAAAGGGTTAAAGTTACCTTAATCAGACGAGAGAAAGATAACCCTCCGGCATAGCGAGTGTACAGCTCGTCCCAATAGTCAAATTGCCAGGCGAGTTCACGCCCTGTTGAGCTAAAAACGAAAACAAATAAAGAAAATAAAACTGAAAACTGAGTCTTGAAACTGAACCCGATTTATGATACATTATTAAGCTAATAAACAGATCCCTTTACTAAATACCTAATGCCTACCTGCCGGTTACACTAGCGATAACGAAAACCGTATCCTATGACAGGACATCAGTCTAAAAAGCGTGAAAGAAAATTTAAAAAAAAAAAAACCAATACATTTGGTTAGGAACAAAAAGTAGCGAAGGTTACCATTAATTTTAACATTGCTTCTCCTTTTTCTCCAACCTGGAGTGAATGCTGGAAAACACAGGTCACCCACTAACAGTTAGCAACTTTTGCCGAGCTCTTATTGCATAGGCTCTTGACCCTTATAACCGATCATTAGTATTCATATTCTCCACACTGTTCGCTACACATTTCTTAGGGTACTGACAGGGAGAATTTGTGTCACAATCAAGAACCCCACTGATTGGTGATCATGCCTATTATTCTCATCACCGTTACAATTGTTACAAGGACGACACCGTAAGGAGACATTAGAAGTCAGTCCATCTTATTTTCACATGTTTTTGTTGGCCTGTTTATAATATTTTATTTCCATGATTTACTTGTTTGTTTGTTTTTTATTTTCCTGTTTGTTTGCTTCTACCCAAGAATAGTGGATATCTTTGTAACTGGGAGCTTCTGACAACGTTGGCCAAGAAAAACTTTTGTATCAGAAAAACTTACAAGAAGAAAAATGCATCGTGGAATGATTTGTACGTTTTAAGAAAAAACCTTTCACTCCATTGAGGGCATCAAGATTTTTGAACCCAAATGGATGTGAACTAAAAGCAGAAGCTACAAGACTCACCGACATTGAGAACTCCAAGACTTTCTTGATCAGATCAGCGTGTGATAAAGCTTCCATATATCTCATTAATCGGACTTTCTCTTCCTGTAAATCAGCTTCTTCAAACAGTTTCATCACAGACTATAAGGTGTTACCATCATCATGCTTAAGAACTGTGCTATACAACGCTCGGACCTCAAGTTGGTTTTGTTGATAAAATGATATTTTATCAGTGAATGTCAAAAAGCCCACTTTCAAAGAAACATGCGATATTTTATAAATACCAATTTACGTTCTAACCTATAATACATTCCAACTATAATGGTAGTTACTGACGTAGTCCGGTTAAGTGAGGCCATTGAGGACACTCTCGAGTTCAGTTAAGGATCAACTTTTCTGTCTCAAGGACTACATTGTCCATTGAGACTTCAAGATTGTTTGGTCTGGTTCTAGGAATTTACGATTCTACGACTTTGGTAGGTCATTCTCTAGTTGCAAAAAGATGCAAAGGCTTCCAACGTCATAAGGAAGCTGCCAAAAATTATCTACGGTTTCACCCTCCGAATTATGGCTGTCGTCATTAACATATGAACAAGGCCGGAAATCAGTCGATTTGGGGTGCGCACGAACATTATCGGAAGCAAATGGGAAATCCAGCAAGGGATTAGGGACGATAAAGGACTGGGAAGATACGCGCAGAATGGTCTAAAGCGAACTCACTTCATAGTATTACGAACATGTTAAAACTACGAAAATAACTATTTGTATTAGCTAAATCAGCTCAGAATTTTGAGTGAAACTGTTAGATTCATTTAAGCACTAAGCATTTTTGTTAATTAATGAACAGTGGAACAGATCTATATAACACTTCATTCCTTAACTGACCAGATAGAATATTGTAAACACTCTGCAACCAAACTTGGATGCAATTCCTTAGAGCCCTCCTTAGGACTGTTACAAACGAATAGTTACACATTATGGTTCAGCCAACGATAACAACTTTTATTCCTCATTAAAGAACTGATCTCGTTGCAAACATGCTACGTTAATGCAACCTAAATTTTTTTTCCAATCAAAACATAATCTTAGATTAACTACAGGAAAAAGCAAACGATATGTAATAAGAAAGAAAATAATATGAGGGTGGTCAGTGATGAAGAGAAATTATACGGATCGTAAATTATTCATGCGCCATGAGCAAGCTCCTTTAATATCCCTTGCCTTGAAGCCAGGCTTTTACACGGTCTGCATCACGTGATAACCATGTGATATTCAGGTGTATGTTCTCCAGTGATTGTTGAACAGTTCGCTGGGCGTTTGGTACGGAGTGCTTGTAAAAGAAATCCTGTCGTCAATAAACAAAAAAAATAGAACAATCAGGAGATGCGTCGCCTAGGTTTTGAAGCTCTTGGAAGCTGTTTGGTAGATCACTGAGTCCAGCCCTATGGAATTTGACCCCAGCAATCACACTTGTTATAAGTTTGATTGTACTAATTTCCATCATATTGAAAATTACTGTTGCTAATAAACTTTGAGACGAATACTTTTTCCAATCAGCCTAAAATACATTTAGTCAAATATACACATGTAAAACTTTCTCCGTTTCAATACACGGTTTCCGCTGACGAATTACCGTTCCAATTGCCACGATGATGACGTCATGACACGATCTCATGATCATGACTCATTCGTGGGGGGGGGCGGAGGGGAGGGGAAGAGGGCTACAATTTTTCTCTTAACGCGTAATCCCATGCATTCAGCCGCACGTGACGAACTGTAAAGTTTCAAACTTCCCAAAAGAAATCGTCAACTTGAATCGGGAGGTAGTGAGGAAGCAAAAACAGTAGCGGACTCCTTCTATCCAACCCTTTTCCATCAGTATACACGATTTAACACATATGACATTGTTATGGCAAACCATTAATAATAAATTTAAAATAGACCAATTTTCCTTTTTATAAAGAAATTTAAGGGTAATATAGGTTATTCTCCACAATTTACTTAAAGCCCCCTCCTAAAAAAGAAATAAAATAAGCAGTGCAATGTTGTTTACGTTTGAGAACATTAGTTTTTTTAAAGAGATTTTGACCTAAAACTTTACGAGCTCAAGTTAGAATTTCGATCAACATTTACAATTGTAGTCTTAAGTTAAATCATTTAGTCATTCAAATTGATTTAAAATTACGAAAAAACTTCCTACTGTTATCCTTGGGGAGAAAAAAGGGAGACCGCAGGCAAACAAAAAGATAACAAAGGAAGACTCTTCATTATGATCAGTTTAATACCAAAGGAAAAGTCATGTACAGAAGTTGACAAACTGCATCATATCCCTTACAAAAGGAACGACTCCATATCTAAACTTGAAATCAATAAATCACAACTCGTCACTTGAACTTATAAACTGAACATCCCTCACAATTTCCGTAACACGGGGAAACACTGGGATTTCTGATCTATATTGTGTACAGAAATATCAATGATCAAAAAAGATAGAAAAGCTAGTTGCACTAACCCCAGGCAAATACTGTAAAAATTATATACAAATTTGTGAAACGTAGTAAATTAAAAACCTTGCACAAATTTCACGCGTCAATCAAAAGCAGTTACATAAACAAAATATGGTGACGTTAAGAGCTGTACTATAAAAATGAAAAACTTGTCACTTATCTTTACATAATTCAATGGCACCAAACGAATCCAGCCTAACTAGTTATAAAGGAAATCCTCTCTGATAATCTTCCAGAAACATAATCAAAATCACCGCTTACAGTAGCCATATACGAAAACAGTTGCCTATTTACAAGCCATGGACAAGTAGAACTCGGAACGACTGAGAAAAACATCCATTAATAAGAGTTGGACTGGAACAAGGGACCTCACGGAATCTCAGTAAGATATAATATATGCTGCTTAGTCAAATACGCACAAATTTATTAACTCACATCTATCACTAGTTTTCATCTGGGACACTGTTGTTGTAATCTAACATTAGAGGGCTTTAGAACTGACTACGAGTACGAGTACGTATACGAGATTTCTTCCTTAGGAGTGGTGCGCATGCCTCACAACGTGACAGGTCATGCAAACTCTGAAAAAGTCGTAGCTGCCTCGTCTCTAGCTACAAGTTTTTCTGGAAATCCCGTAGTCGCACTACGAGTTGAAAGGTAAGTCAAAATTCTCCTCTTTCCAGATGAAACTTTTTTAGGAATACAAAAGACTAGGCAGAGAATTGCAAAAAAGGTGTATTCAGTAAGGCCTGACATCTATTTGTGAAGTGTTCTGATGATTCTTAAAAAGCTTCGCTCTTGTGTGGAGCAAGTTGCAAATTCGTCACGGCAGTCGACGATTACGAAAGACTAGTGCCACTCTACTCTCGGCCAAAACATGTAGTCGAAGTCGCGCTCGTAATTAAATCTAAAGCTCTCTAGTATCACGGATTTCGTGACATCCGAGAAATAACTGCGAGGAAGATTTAGCCTTGACTGAGAGCAGCTCCTGTCACTACAACACGCGACAGATGCTTTACTTTTCAGCAACACAACATTTTAATATGCTGCTTACTTGTCTCCTTGAGTTGTTGAGTCTTGTCAAGTACGGCGTTGTCTTCTTGAAAAACGTATGATGCGTAACAAGACAAAAAAATGACTACATGATAAACTAAAGATACCTTACAAGTATTCCTCTAAGTATTTCGTTTTGCAGCCTTAATGTTCTGCAATTTGTAAGCTTGTATAAGAGCAAACAGTTTGGTATCTTTTTTACGAAATTTAATCCCTTTTATAGAAACGGGAAAAAGTAAAATTGTAATCCACCGTTTTGGTAAAAGATAAATCGTATAAACCACCTGTATGCCGTAAAAGCAGACGGGACTGAAACATATTTACTTCAAAATGAATACTTTTTTATCCCGCTCACTTGCCACGAGAATACGTCCATCTGGTGTTGCTACAATTCCACAAGGGCATGGCAAATGAGCGATACTTTTGCCTGTGAAGCGACCGTCTAGAGAAAACTGCTGTACCCGGTTATTGCCAGTGTCACATACAAAAAGATTATTGAAGCTGTCTACAAGCAGATACTTCGACCAACTCAGTTCTCCATCTTGATTCCCTTTCTTGCCAAACTTATATAAGAATGTTCCTGACTGATCAAAAGCCTTTATGCAGTGATTGACTCCATCACATACGAGAAATATTTTTTTGTAAGGAATGCAGCAGGTTGGATAGCGGAGTTTCTCCGGGCCTCTGTCTCCAAATGTAAAAATAGATTCTCCCTCTTTTGACATCACCTGTATTCTATGATTGCCCCAATCAGTTACAACAATGCGCTCTTCATCATCCAAACGAACATCATATGGACCATTTAACTCTCCTTTTCTTGAACCGCTTTGTCCAAAACTTTTCACGAAAGTCCCTGTTTGGTAATCGATGTGTTGTATTCTATCATTTTCAAAATCTGCTACAAGAATCTCTTTTTCATTTAAATACGACACGCTTTTTGGTTGCTTAAATTGTCCTGGTTTTTTTCCTTCGCTTCCAAGTTTTCTCACACAGTTTCCATCTTTATCAAATACATAAACAAGGTGGCTACTGGTATCTACCATAGCTAATTCACCTTTCTTATTAACAGCAATTCCACTCAAAAGTCCAAGCATGTCTCTTGGATAGAGCTTCAAGTTCAACTCGCCCACGTTAACAAGTTCACGTTCTTTCACATTTAACGTATAAGGGCAGGTCGGAAGTTTATCGCCGTTAATCCTTACTTCAATGCTGTAGGAGTCGGGAAATTTGGGTGTAAACTTTAGCTGAGGACTGCCGTTCTCTCTCTTGTTAACAAACACATTATTAACATCTTTCGCGGGTTTTACAAGAAATTCCACTTGATCTTTGAGATCACCCTGGTTTATCGTTTCCCCTTCGGATGTTTTAGCGCATAAGGTTAACTCCGCTTCAACACCAGCCTGAAAACTTTGATCTAGTCCTTCAAGTCTTGATTGCTTTGCATCTGCTGTCGGAGTGACCTCAATAACACCCAGTTTCCAGTCCACCAAACGAGGTGCCACAGAAAATTTTACGAATGTCGTTTGTTGATGTTTTGGAACTTCAACTCCACGAAGCTCTTCAAATTTCTGCTTCAAAGTTTCCTTGTTCTGCATAACATCCGAGCTCGACCTATTCTGAACCAGATTTTCTGCAAACTCAGCCGCTTGCTTCATTTGTTTTATCAGGGATTCCACTTCCTGTTTAGCCGCGTTGATCCGCTTAAGTATTGACACGTGTGTTGCCACGAGGGACTCGATTGCTTCTCGCTCGCGCTCTCGAATCTCTGCGATAATTTCTTCGGCTACTCGCGAGACCTCTCGCTTAGCTGTTGCAACGTTCCTTTCCAGCGTCGAAATTGTTTCCTCAAACTGCTTGATGACTTCACAAAGCTCACTTTCCTTGTTCCTCATCAATTTAGCACCACACATGATGTTATCCTTTTCTTCGAGAGCTGCTTTGTCGAGCAGAACAACTTTGTGGTTTTGATGATCCGTAACTATGCAAATTTGGCAAATGCAAACTTGACACTCCAAGCAAAAAAATCGTGTGACTTCTCTCTCGTGGAACTCTTGTGAACAAAACGGCTGTCGCTTTAGGACTGCTTCGTAATCTTCTTCTTTCAAGTCTTTAACTGGCGTGACTTTGTGCCCATCAAATGATGCTTTCAGCAATTGATGCGCATTGAAACAATCAAGGCACATGAATCGCCCGCAATCGAAGCAATAGTACATCTGAGGGTTGGTTTTCCGGCACTGAGAGCAAGTAATGCTACTTGCATCACCACTTTGTCGAACGGCAAGAAGACTCAACAAACTTTTATGGAAAAAGCTGTTGGGCAAACGGTCGAAGCGATTTCCTTCTGGTAAATCGATCGCTGCCTGACACTCGGGGCATCGAAATTTTCCTTCTTTCTGGCTCACTCTTGCATGTTTATCCAAACACTCGCGGCAGAACGTGTGGAAACACGATATAATTTTAGGTTCATTGAAGGTATCCAGACAAATGGAGCAAGTAACTTGCTGCTTGATGTTTTTCAAAAGAGACTCCATTACGATCGACAAAAACGAAACGACGCCATCGAATAAAATAAACACCTGACGCCTAAAGGGATTGAGTTACATTTCTGAGAAAACAGAACAAAGTCCGTCACAAGCAGCCGATGGTGACCAATCAAGATCGAAAAGCTCGTCTGTAACATTAGATTGTTTATCTGTGGCGTAAACTTAATCTTCATTTTTGTCTGACAGCTTTATTTTTAAACAGTCCAGATGGTTTAGCGCCTTGTCTGATAATAAAAAGCTACAGTGCTCTTTTTTAATATTCGTGAAAATAGAAAGTCAAGGAATGCAAAACGAAAGGGAAAACCACGAGGCATAATTACATTTTATGCACTAAGATTTAAAGAGGTGATTAAAGCTGTTTAAAGTGTTCACAACTTAAATTCTCCCTGTTATCTCCCGTAAAATACAGCGAAAACATCAAGTACTGCCCGCACGTGAGCACCCATAAAATAACTAATGAGGAAAAATGTTGTAACGATGGCTATTTTTAGTTATTTGCGTGACTTTCAATACCCATTTGTTTTGCGTGACATACTTTCGAATTGTCGGCATTATGTTTCATTCGGCCTCGAGACACATGTGATTTGCAAGTGTATTCAGTAGAGAAGATAGATCGAAGGATTGTCGAAATATTTGAATAATAGAACGGGGAAAGAGGTATGTTATCTTGTTAATTTTTGTATTCATATACCGAAACTTGTACAATCAAAGGTAGTTTTGTTTCGCTTAGGATTTTTGTGTTGTTTCGATTAGTCCGTATACACGCCCCGCGTGTTCGAGTTTAGGACATTTCGATTAGCGTACATTGTATGGGAATGGCCTATTTTAATTAATTGTATTTCAGTTTTTGCGAGCTTTCAAGTTTGATAGACGAATTGAGATTCGAAAGACGCTCGGAGGTTCCGTCAATATAAAACATTTCTCCGATGCGGAGTTGTTAGATTCGATTGATGTCAGCGTTCGCCCCATTACAAATGTCTTCGTCACCCAAATATTTTTTACTTTACCTTTATTTCGTTGAGGCTCTTTTCAGTTGCAAACGAATCTGTGGTCATCTAAGAACAAAAGACAAACGTATAATTTAGCTTTGCGGCAACGAAACCTCCGCAGCGTCGCTAGCCGAGGGAGGCTAAAGGTTTTATTCATTCTACCAATAACACTAATTTTCTTCCATGCAGTTTTTCGATGACAAAAGTTACCTTTATGAGACGAGAGAATAACAGTCCTCCAGCATAACGGGTGTACAGCTCGTCCCAATTGTCTTCGACAAACCGCCACGCGAGTTCACGCCCTGCTAAACTAAAAAAATGAAAACAAACAAAAGAAATACAAGGAAAATTTATATATCTGGATTTTTGTTTCGTTATTTTGTTTTTTTGTCTTTATGTTTGTTTGTCTGACTGTTTTTTTTTGTTTGTTTGTTTTTTTTTTTGAAGCGCTTTAACGCGTTTTAACTGGTCTCGGACTGCACAGTCCGAGACCAGTAACGGACATTCACGCATCGGAAAACTTAAAAATGAAAAAGTCCGGGTTTCAATCAAGAAATGCGGAAACATTCAAGGAAGGAGTACCCAGATTAATCTTGAAATGGGACTAAAATATAGGGGCGATATTCGCTTCCAGATTTAACTATTTCGTCTTCTTAAAGACAGGTTAATTCAACTCTTTTCACCACAGTACAATAAGAACACTAACGTTTGCGGCAGCAGTACAGGAAACGCTCGATGGCACAGTAGGTTTGCCGGTATAATCTGTTTTCTGCATTATACCGTTCATAACCTTTACCACGACCTAACTGGTAAATAACTCATCTGTTTCCACTCGTTAATATCCTTCCTTTCAGAGAGTTCATTATTTTTTTGGGACACTTAAGCGGCTTGGCCAGTTTTCCAGTGCCTCACCCAAGGGCTAGGCAGTACAAACAAGCCAGCATTGAAATTGAAACTGATTTATGATACAAAGTGCTGAATCTTGCGTCACATAGACAGATCTCTTTGCTAACTACCTATTGCTTACCTGCCGGTTACACCAGCGATAACGTAAACAGTATCCTGTGACCGAACATCACTCTGAAAAGAGCGCAGTAGGAAACAAAATAATTGTTAACAACGAGAAAAAACGAGTTAACTTTACAGGCTAACCATTAATTCAGGCGTTGGTAGGAACGTAAATTATCAAGTACACAGGCTAACCATGAATTTAAGCGTCGGTAGGAACGAAAATTATCGAGTACACAGGCTAACCATGAATTCGAGCGTTGCTGTTACCCAGTAACAGTTGGCAACTTTTATCGTGAGATTAGCACGTAAATTTCCTCGTCATATTCGAGCTCTTATTGCTTGGGCTCTTAACCCTTTACACGCTAATATTAGAATTCATATTCTCCACACTGTTCTCTTTATATTTCCTATGGCAATACTAAGGAGAATTTGTGTCAGAATCGGGTGTTCCCCTAATTAGTGATCATGTCTATTATTCTCGTGACCTTTTTATTTGATTCAAAAGTGATACTGTAAGGAGAAATTAGACATCAGTCATGGTTTTGAACATTTCTTGAGCAAACAGTGTTTGATTTCAGTGATTTGCTTGTTTGTTTCTTTTCGATTACTTGTTTTCTTGTTTATTAGTTTGTTTTTGCCAAGAATAGTGGACACCTTTGTAACAGGGAGCACTAACCAAAACAACCCAAGAGGAACTCTTTTGTGTCAGTGTAATTATTACAAAAAGGTTAAAGTATAGAGGAGTAATTTGCACGTTGCCAAAAGAATAAAACCTCTCCCATTATTGAAGGCGTCAAGCTTTTGAACCCAAATGGACGTGAATTAAAAGCAGAACTACAAGACTCACCGACATTGAGAACTCCAGGACTTTCTTGATCAAATCAGGTTGTGATACAGCTCCCATACATCTCATCAGTCGGACTTTCTCTTCATGCAGATCAGCTTCTTTAAACAGTTTCATCACAGACTCTAAGGTGTTATCATCACCATGCTTAAGAACTGTGCTATAAACCGCTGACCTCAAGTCTGCCGGGATGGTGGATTCACCTTTGCAGTGCGCTTCAAATCTCTTGCGCGCCTCGGCGAGGGTTGCTTGATCACCACTGCGTCCCATACAACCCAGCACCAGGCCCCTCAACAACGCATCCAAATGACCTAGAACAATAGTTGACAATTAAACCCATTATTCTAGTCCAGATTTAAAGTCAGCACCAGGGGCAATGCACTCTTAGAGAATGTTGCCGCGTTCTCTGTCGTAAAGGAATTGAGATTACTGCCTCTTTCTCTTTCTTAAGTCACAATAATTATCTATCAAAAATTACCCCCTCCACGCGCCTTTAGTCAGGCTACCCTGACAGTTTTCTGCTACCTATTTTCGCTCCTGGGTGGAGAGAGCTACTGTTGGCACAGTGTCTGGAACAAGACTTCATCAAAATTACCAGAGCAGCTGCCCAGACTTGACCCCTGACCTCTCAATTTAGCGCCCTAATTAGTCGTCCTATACTAATTCCACATGTATATAGTGAGGCCGGCTTTGTGCGTCGCCTAGCTCTCAAAGGACAGACGATAATGTCTCATGATCCTGCAAGAGGGTCTGGCGAAAGTCGACAATTTGCCCATTCTACCCATAAAATCATCAACCTTTTGCATTAAGTGATATACCGTATATACCTAAAAATGAGAAATCCTGTGGATGAAATTTATAGAACTGGTCCTTGTTAGGGAACCTTCGATTCTTGAAGTATACGCTCTTAGAAGTAGACAAATATGAGCAAATCCGAGAGCTTGCTTTGTCTGTTACCTTCTCCAGCTTTAGGGTCCCATCCAACTTTCTGGGCAATGTTTTCGTACAGCTTCACACAGAAGGCCTGGAAGCTAGAGTAGAACCCAGTGTTTTGCAACAGCTTCGACAAGCTGCTCATATTCGTTGTTAGGTCATTCCACACTGTATAGTTTGTTTCGTTGCTAAATTGTTCAGCTAATTTTAGGAATTCTGTTGTGGATGTGAGACCTGCTTGCGCCTAAAGAAGAACAATGTTTAAAATTGGAACTCTTGGCTAGTTTTCTAGTTAAGACTTTCGAGAAAGAGAGATAAAAGTTCACACGATCAATTACAGTCCGATAAAGGTTCTAGCGATAAAGAACTTTTTGCAAGTGTAGGCTTGTTACAAATAAATCATAACGCGGATTTTACGAGAATATGAAAGGAGAATAATTCCATAAAAGTCCTTTTGTTTGTAGAAATAATTTAAGTTGAAAAATGCATCAAGAGATTCTTTAACGAAAGCTGTCTAGAGGTGGACTCATCAACATACCAGAGCAAACAGATCACTCTGCAAACCCAATCTGTCCCTTGGTGGAAGACTGTTGTCCTTTATGGCCGGCAGGAGAAGCTCCAACATGTCGGACGAGTACTGTACTCGGTAGAAACCAACTTGGCCTGGATTTAACTGCAGAGAGAGAGATTTCACCTTTTACACGTTAATTACTTCATTTCTATAAAAGCTCGAAGCGGTGTGAGTCCGTCATAAGTTACCCCTCCCACCCCCCCACCCCTAGTATATTCGTTGGTACCCATCCAACTGGCTGGGAAGCACAGTTATTTGTCATTCGATTATTCATACAGGGCTAGAAATCTGATTCCTTAATAAATAATCAGACGATCAACGTATAACGATTACCAATTAACATTGAAACGATTACCATCTAACGATTAACGTACAACGATAATCATTTAACGATTAACGTATAACAATTATCTAAAAACGATTAACACATAACGATAAACATGACTTAAAATCACTGATCGTAATTTAAGGCAATTCTTACAAATTCACCTTAATCCACTGATCTTTTCCAACTCCACTGACTGTTATTTCACAGGTTTTATTTTCTAACAACGTTTCAACTGCGGGGGCTAAGGGACTGGTACTAGTGCAAACAGCGATCGGTACTTTCCATTGGGAAGAATCTTACAAAAAAAATAAATAAATAAATAAGTGCAAAGCACGGGTAAGTAAACCGCTAACAACGAAATTCAACAGTTTATGTAAATTAAATCAAGAATTAAGAACTCTCTTTTTATCTTATTTTTCCGGACAACGAAACTCGTTCATTGTCGCCCTGCATTCATTCTTTATTTCCCCTTATAACATATATGTAAACATATTGATCTCAATTATTGCGTTTTCTTTGCCCTTGAGGATTCTTAAAATAATCTAGAAGCTTCAACAGACAAGGTAATATCTACACTTCTCTGCTCAGGAAATATTTTATATTCACCAGGGTTTATTAATTACAATTACCTTCAGTTGTCCCATCAGCCGAAAATTTGTTCTGTGTTATGGTGACCACCACATCTTCCCCTTTCTGAAAAGAGAAATAAAAGAGTAATCAGGCGTTTTCGTCTCGTGTGACTGCTAGCGCTCATTACAGTGGAATAAGGTTGGGTTGACAGAGATAGGCGATTTTACTATCACAAAGGTAAAAAGGTTAAGTAGCTTTACTGATCAATAATTCGTCTGAGCAGAGTTGTCCGGAGCGCAACTGGAACTAAGCCAGATTGAGTTAGTATGCCAATGCAAAGCTTGCCTTACTCAATGAACCCAACATGAGCACGTTATCAGTTAACATGAATGCCGCACGTAGGTCACTAAATTGTCAACTCTTGCTGCAAATGAAGCCTCCCCTCCCCTCCCCTTCCCTCCCCCCCGCTTAAAAATTGTTTTTTCCTCTTGCCATGGCGACCGAAACGATCGCAACTTGGTGAGCTTAGCTCCTACCTTTTCTGCTGTAACAGACAACACAGGATATCCCATTTGTTTGGTCCATGTTTCCATAACGTCTGCAACAGGCTTCGAACTGGCGTGAGACAGACTGGCCCAGAGGTCCTCTTGGAGAGTGAAAAAAATGTAATAATAATGGTAACGATAAAATAATTTTAAGAAATACTTTTAGACCCCCATAATAGAGCCATAATGTTTTTACAACTCTGAACAGAAAAGCGCGCCGATAAGGGCACAGGGCTTACATAAAACAAATAAATAAAGGAGATATTCGTTTCCATAGAAACTGTGGTGCTGCGTCGGAAGGGGGTATAACAAGATAATTTTGGGTTTATTATCAGGGTTGATATTGTAAATTGGCCACCGTAAAGAGTTTCTTACGCTAACGTTTCTGGCATTAGTCCTTTGTCAGAGCTCTGCATTATGAAAAGCAACAACTAGTCCCAGCTAACCTGTGGAGGCAGCACTGTACTCAAACGTCTTCAGGTAGTGATTTAGACCTTTCCTAAAGTCCTGTGGTGTATAGAAGTGATGAAAGAGTAGTAATTTAGCGAATGGAAGAGCAATTACAAAGAGACAAGGATGTAAGAAATCTCGAGTATGCTTTAGCAAAAGCCTCAACCTAAAAGCTCTTTAAAAAAATACAAAACAACCTCTAGAAAGAAGGCGATAACCATATAAACTTTATTTCACCGAAAGAAAAAATTCAAAATCCTTTAAAAAAATTGTAAAAGAATACTAATGATGGACAATTCATACAATGTACTTTACTTCAAACAACAGAAAGCAGAAAGGTCTTGAAGGACCACCTTGCAGTATTTAACCCTTTCACTTCCATCAGTGATCAAGACAGAATTTCTCCTTACAATATCAATACAATATCAAGCATAAAAGTGATGAGAACAAAGTAAAATATCAGGTAGGGGATTATTAGTTGATCCAATACCAAATTCTCCAAACTGACATCATAAGAATTAAAAAAGGGTTAATTGCAAAGACAACAAAAATCCTTTTTGGACATTTTCTTACTTCTGAGATTTCAGTAAGAATTTGCACTTGCTTCAATTATTTTTCTCTATTAATCTAACAGTTTCTGTTTTACTGATGTACCAGTACTGGAAGGAGAAATGAAATCTTGATAATAACTTACCTGATCACCCACATACTGATGTAACATTCTGATCACTGATGCACCCTTGTTGTAGGATATTGTATCGAAAATCTCATCTATCTCCCCTGGATGTTGCACTGGAACCTAAAACACATCAATACCACACGTCGATCATTCACAAAATTTTAATCTCTTTGCTTAATACATGACATGTGGACTCTTGTAAATAACAGTGACAGCAGATCTGTTATTGACACACATGTAAAAACTGAAAATTGGAATGTCAATTAGAATTCTGCTGACAGAAATTATAAAATGGAAGACTTCATCGAAAAAAAAATTATAAACTCCAGTGACAATTATCACTATCATAAACTAGACATTAGAAAGTCTGAGATTGTTTTTACATTTTGTTCAAAAGTTAATTGGAGGAAAAGCAAATTATCTCATAGAGGTAAAAAAAAGGATGAACAAAGAAAAATGGAAAATTTACACCAAATATTAATGAAGATAAAATATTTCCCAAAAATTTTACCTCAATTGGATGACTTGAGTGCAGAAGGGAATCATGTGGGAGAGAAAAATATAAAATCACAGATAATGAGCCAGAACACTTAAAAAAATTGCATATAACCCAGGTAAAAATATAAGGTGGGATCCCGCCAATCCCACTTGGGATCCCATGTGTGTCCCAGGTGGGATCCCGCCTTTTTCAGGTGGGATCCCGGGTGGGATTATGGAACATCCCGCATGGGATCCCGGGTGGGATTATGGAACATCCCGCATGGGATCCCACCTGGGATTATGGAACATCCCGCATGGGATCCCGGGTGGGATTATGGAACATCCTGGGTGGGATTATGGAACATCCCGCATGGGATCCCACCTGGGATTATGGAACATCCCGCATGGGATCCCACCTGGGATTATGGAACATCCCACATGGGATCCCACCTGGGATTATGGAACATCCCGCATGGGATCCCACATGGGATCCCGCCAATTGAAGTTGGGATCCCGCCTTAAATTCCTAATAGCATCCCACCTGGGAAAGCACATCCCAGGCAGGATTAAACCTAGAATCCCACCAATCCCTCTTAGGATCCTGCCTCAAATTTCAGATAGTTTCCCACCTGGGAAATCATATCCCAGGCGGGATTGCATCTGGGATCCTGCCAATCCCAGTTTAGACCCTGCATAAAATTACAGATGGCTTCCCACTTTCAGAAAAATCCTTTGAGGGATCCTGTTTATCACTGGAGACCACAGATTTATGAAATGTACTAGATAGGATATCTTAAAATTAAGAGGATAAAATTTTCTAGGTGAGCTATAGACCCCATCAATCCACTGAGGGTCCAAAACTTTCCAACTAGCTATAGAACATACTGACACCTCCAATGGGATCCCATTGTCTTACCAAGCTATTGATCATAAATGATTCAAACAGTACATGAATACACAGACTATATGTGATAAAGATCTCATAATTTATTTGCAATGAACCAGCATGTGTTTGACTTGTTTCATTAACAAATTTCTTAACCGAACATTCTTAAAGAATAACAGCAAAACTCAGCATATTACTTTTTCTTCATCATTTAAGCAGACCATCTACAGTGTAATAAGGCTCAACGTTTAAAAAAATTGGCTGTTGTGTATCAAAGAATAAAAGAAAGACAAAACCTCAATAATTCATGTTATCAAAATTTTGACAAAGGTACTGATTGAAAGTCTGCTCTCTCTTCAGTCGAATTTTTCAAAGCAAAGCAAGGTCAGAATGTTCCCAAATGTGACTAAAGTAATCTTGAAACCTTACTCATAGATTTATTTCATTGTAAAGTGTAAGCTTAGGAAACTGCAGTATGCAAGTGACCAATTCGATTCTCAGAATTATTTGAGTTTCAGTTGCGCTGAGTGTTAGGTAAGATTAATTCAAGCCGTTATTTCTATTCTTTGATAAGATTTTGATCACGTAACGAATATGGCAATTTGTACTCACCACAAACTTCTAAAAATCCTAGCTTTAAATGGCCACTCGATCGTTGTTTGAACCAGTCGATATGTCAACTGTTAATTGTCCCTTCTTTTAAGTTCACGGCGCCAACGACTTTCTTTTCATTTAAAACACTCACGCTGTTCTCGTTTTCCCATTAAACCACAATAAAACCAATCTTTAGAAGTGTTATATTAGGCAAAACAGTTGGGAAAAGAAACAACTTGAAGCAAGAGCGGTTAACCGATGAAAAGTACATTCAAAGATGAGCGCCAAATGGAGTTTTCTTTGTTTCCGATTACGGGCATGATCACGTGGACCTTTTAGCAAAGAGAATCCGCTGGCTTGATCCATTGCAGTCTCAAGAGAAGCGCTCAACATTATTCTGTCTATTCTGACCGGTTCTCCTCTCTTAGATGGTGGATACCTTGGATTCATGTTTTGATGATGACATAAATAATGATGTGAATTCACTCTATGTAGAAATTATCGACAAGAATCGAACAAGAATGCACGATTTGTGGCCGAAAGTTTTCGAGGAAAGAAAGACTCGAAACCCACTTGAGTTATGTTCACGGCGAAGGTGAGAAACAACACAAGCCAATAACATTAGGAAGTATAAGAGATACCTAGATGATCACAGTGTACCAGTACCCAAATCAACAAGGCTTGACCACAACAAGCGTTCAGCAACACGTTTCAACACAGTTAGCCATCTCGATTCCTCAGTCGGTCTTTCCAGTGAACTAGCAGTGGTGCCAACAGAGTCAAGTGCGTCTCATAACGGAGAAAACATTTGCACGAGAGACAGAAGCAACTACATGCGATTACAGAGGTGCATTGGAATTCTCGTCTGCAAATGGTTATGCACAGTCCGAAGCGTTACCGAGCTTGGAAAGGGGTGGAGAGAACGAAGATACAAGGTTGTCATTTTATACTACAAGTACAATTTTATAGCAGACCTACAAGGTATAGAAAAATTTTGTTGATCTCTGACACAGAGAAGAACAACAAGTAAACTTTAGAGCTGTTATTATTGAACTGTGACTTGTACTTTTCATTTGTATGTAAAGAAGGAATTGTATTTTGCACCAAAAATATAAAGAAGTAATATTTTTTAGGAGGTCCAGTGATTGGAACATTTAAGAAATTAAGTTATGAAAAGAAACTCGGTTTGTACTTCTCACTACTAACAAGTCTTGTTTTAAAAATATTTTCAGATCAGAGTTTCAAATAAAGCAAATTGAAGAAGTCATTTAAAAGGTGTATTTTCTCAAAGGGAACAGTGACCACCTCTGTCTTGTCTGCATGCCAAATATTTGCGGAGTGTGTGGATGATCCATAAGTATTGGAACTCTCACAAAAACGTTTTGTAAGAATAAAAACAGCAAAACAATATTTTCGTAGCTGGGATAAAGAATCCCAGGTGGGATATGTAAATCCCGACCAGGATCCCGGGTAGAATGCATAAGTCCCACCTAGGATCCCGGGTGGGATGCAGGAATCCCGCATTAAATGCGGGATCCCAGGTGGGATCAAATTTTCATCCCAGGTGGGAAAGGTGGGATCCCACCACCTAAGGCGGGATCCCGCCATTCCCACCTGGGATCCTGGGTGGGATTGCCGGGATCCCGCCTATATCCCGCCTGACATTTTACCTGGGAAGTCATGATTTATTTGCCACGGGTTTGAAACTCAAAGTGGCTACAATGCATATATACTATGCTGCCTACAGTACAAGAAGCTTTTCACTTGTCTGTATGATGTAAATAATTAGTACCTGTTATTCAGTGCATCAAGTTTCAAGGCACTGGCAAAATCAGTGCTCACAAACTGTGTCCACACATCAAACTCAGGAAAGCAGTGATCTACCAGGAGATATTCTATCCATGATGCAAACCCTTCTTTTAGCCACAAGTGTGTCCACCATTCCTGTCATTGAATGTCAAAGAAACAAAGTGAAGACTACACTCAAACTTAAACAATCTGGCAAATCCATGTCAACTTGATGGCACACAATAACTTAGAGAAAGTGGAAAGAGTGTTTCTTCTTGAGGGTAAACTTGAGCTTGTCACTGATGTGGTCTGCTCTAGGCATTCAGGAAACAATAACAGATTTCCAGAAGAGGCAACATAAAAGGACATATTACCACTGTCACCTGAAAAACCAAAAATGGAAAAGAGGATCAAGAGAGATAGATACCTTGACAACATTATTTAATATGGATAAAACACTTGGCTATAGGGATGATTTTTCAAGCTTTCCACAAAATTAAAAGATTTTAAAACTGGTACAATAATAGCACAGTTATTATTACTTTAATGTCTACTCAAAACTTTCCACCCACCCTCCCCCCCCCCCACAAAATAAGTAACAATGCTTCACTAAAACTAACAAATTAGAGTTTTAAGACCAAAGAATAATTATGCTAAATTTTAAAATTAATTTTGATTTAATTCCAACATAATAAATTAGCAGACATGATCCAAAGATCATAATGATAATAAAATCAAGAAGGAGGTAACTTATTAATGAAATTGTATATAAATTACCAAATTTCCAAACCACATATGAGCAAGTTCATGACCTAAGAGGCAACATAAGAAGATTCAATACAAATGATCTCAAAGATGAAAACCCCCTGAGTAAGATCTGATATACTGTTATATTCTCCTTTCAAATTGCCCACTTCTTTCTTAACCTTTAATCCCTAAGAGTGACTAGCAACTAATTTCTCCTAACAATATCACCCCTGGATCATGCAGTAAGGTCATGAGAATAAACAAAATTATCAGCAGAAAAGAAGCTGTTGATTGTTACACAAATTCTCCTTGACAGCAGCTTAAGGAATGTTTGGGGAACAGTATGGATAATATCTTTACTGATGTTAGGGTGCAAAGGGTAAAGGTAAGACACTTGGAGAAGAGGATGTTGCAAAAGAAACCTTTCAAGCTTTATTCCATGTGCTCTTTCGATTCCATTTGATAACAGGTGTTGACACATCTATCCATGCAGTCAGTCGTTTAACCGAACTATTCAATGAGTAACATACTTCTGCACTTACCAACAACTAAAGCCACATACTGTTTAGCTGCTGAAGAAGAATCAGTTGGATCTATCAAAAGGCAGGTTTCCCTTAAGCAAGAATATCAACGGAATGGTCAGATGCGAATAATTAATTATAAATATGCTCTTATAAATATGCTAATTAAAAAATGCAAATTAAATCTTTTGAAAATATAGATTAGCATTATTTTTACCAAGAAAAAATTCTCCATACCTGTAGGTGACAAGACCCCAATTTTCCATAGCCCCTGTCACAGAATATGGAAATGGAGGCTTCAATTGCATATAATCAAATCCAAATTATCTCTTATCATTAATATCACCTTATACTACAGGAACCAAAATGAAGAACTCTGCAAGACAACACTAGGATTCAAAATGAAGAGCTCTTACTTTACTATTAACATTATTACTATGAGACCATGTAATGTCTTGTAAAACATATCAAAATGCAAGGCAAATTTTGATATCAATAAGGAATGCTGAGTTACCTATGACAAAGTCTTGAATAGCAATGAGGTCAAGCTTTGGTAAAAGGTAACCAATCCCAAAATATTCTTTGTAAAATGGCAGGCACTTCTTAGCAACCTGGAAAAAAATTAACAAAAATAATCCCTGAACATTTTAAGCCTTTCACTCCCAGGTGTAGCCTGGAACTAATTTCTCTTTAACCCTTTAATTCCTGGAAGTGATTAACATGGAACTTCTCCCTATAATAATTATCTATACATTATTCAGCAAACAGGTAATGAAGATATTCGAACTTATCAGGTAGGAGCTGCTATCTTGATCTAGCACCAAGTTCTCATAACTGATTTACAAGGAAATGTGTAGCAACTGGAAGGGAGAATTAACAATCAGATCTTGGGAGTTAAAGGGTTAAAATATCAATACACTGTTAAGCAGGCACAAGATGAGAAAAAATCAAGATATATATATCAATAAGGTGATAATTCTTTGACTCAACAACAAAATCTCAGAAGCAACATTACAGGAAATGTATGGCAGACAGTAAGGAGAATTATTGTTGAGATAAGTGTGAACTGGGAAAAATTTGTAATGCACTTTGCAAGACTGACCTCTAAAGCAAACTGTCCCCGAACTTCTCTTCCCTTTGGAGTATAAACTCTGATTGTTACCCCATTTGCATCTCTTCCTTCTACAAAATCAAACTCGCCAACAACAAAAGCAACAAGGTATGTAGACATGACTGGTGTCCTGGCATACTTCACTACTTTAAGGGAGGTATCCTCAGCATGATCTTTCTCCTCTTTTACGTTCTGAAAACAGAAATTTTTGTACAACATAGATGAAGTAATTTTTAAAAAATAAGCAGCATGCCTTTCCATTTCAAATTGACTTTACAGGTTAATAAGAGTCAAGTTACTAGTCTTGAAGAAATGAGTATTTGAC